ATTCGAGCTGACAAAAATTTAATTCCGTAAGCAACCCTTGAAGTAATAAAGTGAAAGCCTTTTGGAAATATTAAAAAAGAAAAATGTGTGTGTGGGGTAATGATTTTCCTGGAAGAATAAATATTTAAGGGTTCATTTGGAAGACAGTTATTTTCAGTATGGGATGCTGGGTGTACCTCATCTGTTGGCATCTGTGTGTATAAGAGAACTTAGTTGTAGTGCCACCATCTAATTAGCAGTAATGGTTATGCTTGGACTGTAATAAAACAACTTTGTTATACTTTGAGGGAGTGCATTATTAAATCACAGTCTCCTGTTTCTCGGAGCCTTAGTTCTTCATGCCTTGATGAATTGATTCTGCTCTCTGAAGCTGCAGGGTTTCAGCCTCAGCAGACACTCCAAACGCTTGATGAGCTAATGGTAGGTTTTTAGATGCTTGCCAACTTTTTGCCCCTTCCCTTTCACTAATAAACCTGGTAACTTGCTGACATGGAGAGATAAAGACAGAGAGAGTAGTCCTGGAGATTTAATATTTTACCTGCCTTGGAGGGAAGAAATGCCTTTTTAGAGACATTCAGTGTCATTCAGTGGAATTCTTACCACAAAGCAGGAATTCATCCGAAGGGCATGAGAAATGTTGAACCTGTTCATGCAGTATTAATCTAGACTGTTGACAACATACTAGTGTTCTACCAGCATTACACAAAAGAGGAGGAGAGGAAGAGGAAGAGGAAGGAAGAAGAAGAAGAAGAAGAAGAAGAAGAAGAAGAAGAAGAAGAAGAAGAAGAAGAAGAAGAAGAAGAAGAAGAAGAAATTTGTCAATCTAACGGGAAGCTGCTATTTCAGACACCTTTTTATTTTAGTGGAAAAATGTATATTGATCATAAATCTGAGATATAGATATGGATATAGATATGTAGACATGTGCTGAACAACCTTTTCACCACTGCCAATCGTATATAGCAAGCACATTACAAAACAATTTTCTTTTACTGATGTACATAATAACTTTTAATAAATATACTATTTAATAATTAGCTTGCAGTGCTTTGATGGATACCAGAGGCCACGTTGAGAGTAGTCTAGCATGTCAGCAGGTAGTTAAATTTGATTAGGCATGTCTTTGGTATAAAAATTCACTGATGTTTTAGAGCTTTCTGTAAAAAAAAACTCTAGGTCATAGATGGAGGGTTTTTTCCTTTGTTGTAATTTATTTTTTCATTGTAAATACCCAGACTCCTTGTGATATAGGTGGTATGCTGTAATAAGTTGTAATGAATAAATACCTCCATAATCATTCAGTGGCTTCACTGCTTACATTGTCAGCCTCCAATTTCCACCCACATTAACCAGAGAAATAAGCCTAAAATATCTGATAGTATCCTTTACCTTGTTTTTTTGGGGGGGGAGGATTGAAGGTGTCAAAATATCGTGGGCAGATGATAGGGTAAGCCTTCCAACTGCATTCATGTCACCTGATGGTGACAATGATTCAATTGGTATGATTAGTCATGTTCACGCTAGGTGTGTTACTGGAAAATGATCAGTAACTTCAGCACTTTCTTTACAATGCCTACATAGATTTTCAGGCAGTAAGTTTTCAAAATTTACTGTGACTGTGAATATTATAAACTTAAGGGAAAAAAAATAAAGTTCTTGAAATGTTGAAAGGCGATATAGAAGTGGTTGAGAGCTTATCTGAAGTCTGTCAACTTCTCTCTCCCTCTCTCCCTCCCTCCCTCTCTCTCTTTCCTCATTTGAGTTGGTTAATCTGTTGACTTCACAGAAGCTTGCAGAGGGTTTTCAAAATAGAACAAGAGTGACTGCATATTCAAAACATTCCTTTTCTTTTCTTTTGGCATTTCTTAAACTAAATGAGTGTAGTACAGTTTAAATTAAGCACTTCATTGGCTTTTCCCTGTTAATGCAGTTTTCATTTGTGCAGCAGTGTTCCCCACCTGTCTGCTCTTCCGATGAGAAATAGCTGGTAAATAACTGATAAAAATAACTGATCCTAAAGTCATATACATATTTCAACCATTTTCAGTCTCACACACAAAATCTTATTAAGTGCACAGATCTCATACACGGGCACATACATACATATTGTCTGTCAACGCTGTGAGGTAGAGCAGATCAGGAAACTGACTCCACAGGAAGAAAATGATAATGCTTTATTGAGATAGGCTATAGCCCAGTGTTTCTCAGCCTTGGCAACTTTAAGACGTGTGGACTTCAACTCCTAGAATTCCCCAGCTAGCCATGTTGAAGTCCACACATCTTAAAGTTGCCAAGGTTGAATAACACTGGGCTGTAGTAATGGAATCTTGCAAATCTGCTTGTTCTTTACCTTGCCTTCCTCTTGTATCCTAGTGAGTCAGGGAGGAGCCAGCCTGAGTCTCTTCCTAACACTGTCCCCTTCCCCAGGGCTTAAGAAAGACTTCTGCCCTTGTTATTTCTGTAATGGCTTCTGAATATCCCCTTCAAGACCATCTACAGTATGCTTCCCCTTTCCAACAGGAACAGGTAAAGAGGAGGAGGAGGAAAAAAGCAGGATGGAGATGAGATGAAGAGATGACTGGGTAGAGAATGAAGAAGATAGAAGAAGCACTGTTTAGATATTACAAAAAGGGATACATTCACCAGGCAAGTAGTCCCTCCAAAAAGCAACTCATCTTGCGACTGTTTTTTTTTTTTTTTTTAAGTTATCTACCATTTATACTAAAATGTCTGCAGTTATTTAACCTTCCCAGTCCACTTCTAAGCCTTTCCTATTACGGAATTTTGGAGGGATAAAATCATCTTCTTAGACTAGAATTCACTTATATATTTCATATTCTACATAGTGCTAACCTAAAGAAAATTCACAATTTATAATGACTCTTGTATAGTAACTCTTATTACTTTAAAAGTTTTTGAGAGCAATGATAACCCTTTGAGCCTTGTAAATGCATTGCAGTTCTCATTACCTTAATTCTTTTATTGCACAAAAAAAGATACTGATGCTGAAACTAGGTGATTAAACAGTCTTTGTTCTTAAAGCAGTAAACTGTATTCATGCAGGATTCTCAAAAGGGATAGGTAAAGGGTGGAGGGAATGGAGAGATTTACTCACTATAGCAATCCATTAAGCAGACTTGTATGCCAGATCTGTGTACATATGCTAGTTTTGTAATTTCAACACATTCTATCCAAGCTTTTATTCTATTAACCTAATTTAACAAGAAGGAAATTCAGTAACAATAGCTAACGTTGAAGCATTATTTCCCCAGAGAAAGTTAACAATACTTCAACATCAGGTAAGAATGTGTGAAGAATGGAATATACCTTCGTACAAAGAAAGCAGGGAGGAAAAAGTCCTATGTCATATACAAACAGTTCAAAACTCACTCCATTTGATGAAAAAGAAGAAGGGGGGGGAGTAGAGTTGGTAGTAGTTCCTATGGCTGCCTATGAAATTTGAATATTCATTATTTGCTAAGGATAAGCATTAAAAGTCTTTTGCTTCTTATTTAAATTTAGCTAGCTAGCTATAAGTCAATCAATCAGTCTGTCAATTAATCAAGGGAATGCTTCCCAAGAGCAGAAATTTTGACTGGATATATGTTAGATCAAGTGGACAACTAACAGAGTGCCAAAAATGGTAGTTTTGGGGAGTCCGTGTTCTCTGAGCTTGGTTGGTCTCGTCTCTTCTAGTGCTTTTGTTAAGAGCTATGGAGAAGATGCTGTTTAAGGTAATAAATTATTTATTATTCACTATTAGGTTTTTAGTGATTTGTTATTGGATGTTACTGTCTATGCTATATGGACGTTTTTCTTTGAACATATTTTTTAAAACATAGTTGGTATTGTTCAGTTTTACTTTTAAGTAATTAGAACAATTAGATAAGAAAGGGCATTGTAATCAAGTTCTCATTATCTCCTGCCAGCAAGACCATTTGTACATTTTGCCATTGGGGTTCAGAAGATGCTAATATTACATCATATATATTACAGCTTCCTTCTCCAGGACTTTTTCCCCCATATAACAGAGCAAGGAAACCTTTTGCTGAGGTTTTTGAGAAATGATATAAACCAATGAATAGCTGACTTCAGTAGACCAATGTAAAGCATAATTGCATACATAATTCTCAATCAAAAGCATGTATAGCTAATTGTCTGTTTTTCTGTTTCTAGAGAATGTGATTCTCTGTTCCTAGAAATTGTTTCTTGTCATGTTGTTCTTCTCATGCATATGATGTCTTCTTTTGCCATTTAAAACACTCTGGAAAACGAATACTCTACCATTTCTGTAATTTCTAAAACTGTCTTTAAGTATTTCTTGGTGACAAAATTAATAAATTACTGGTTGTTTCTCAAGTCAAATCAGGCGGAAAACATTTTTGTTAAAGGCTATAGTAAGAGTCAGTTTGGTGTAGTGGTTAAGGTAGCAGGGCTAGAAACTGGGAAACAGGGAGCTCTGGTCCTGCCTTGGGCACAAAAACAGCTGGATGACCTTGGGCCAGTCACTCTCTCTCAAACCTAGGAAAGAGGCAATGGCAAACCATTTCTGAAAAACTGCCAAGAAAACTTCAGAAACTTGTTCAGGCAGTTGCCAGGACTCAACACTGACTTGAAGGCATCAAAGGGGGCAGGGGGAGGCTATAATATTTAATATTTAAGCATCAGCGGTACAAATCCACTAATCTACATAATGAACATTCTAATAGACATTAAACCTGAAAGACAAAGATGAGGAGCTATATGAGGATGGAAGGAAAACACATTGATCTGTGTAGGGTGGAAGCAACTTCATACTACATTCATGTTTTACAAAACTTGGATTTGGTGACAGTTACTAATAACCATTATAATTATATTGACGTGTTTGGGGAGAAATAATCAGTTTTATATAATATTTGCAGCTATGGTGCCAAGAATAATTGAAAGCTAATGCACAGCAAAGGAATATATCTGAATCTATATATTATTTTTCTGTTTGCTTTAAGGTTTTGGATATGCACCGACTACAGATGGGCCGTTTGTTATAAACTGCACCAAGGGTGCACAAACAGCTTACTCTAAGAAGAGGTGTAATATTGAACTTGCAGTCAAAGGCACGTGTGAAGCTAAGAACTATGATAATACAGCAAATCTTACTGCTGGTGCTGCTCTGGGTATGCCTGCTACACCCTTGCTCGACAGCAATGGTATTCACTAGGACTACAGACCACCAGCCCCCAACTTTCAGAACTCATGGAGTAGGAAATGAAGGGAAAGTTCTGCACCGTCAGAAACGAGGCTGGATGTGGAACCAATTTTTCTTGTTGGAGGAATATACTGGGTCCGACTACCAATATGTAGGCAAGGTAGGTCTCATGAACTCTTTATTTTATTAATCCAATGCACTGCAGTGATTGGAATGGCAGGAAATCATCCCTGAGCACACTTTGGTTTGTTAAAAAGAAAAAGCACCAAAGCTTTGCAAATACTGTAGGAGCAGCAGGTTCATATACAAATGCTCTGCTGGGAGCAAACCAATTAATAATGTTGTTGCATTTCATATTGATGACATTATAGTTCCTTTAGGACTTGAGTTTTGACTCATAATGTCCATTAACATTATTCAATGCTCCGTCTTCCAATGTCACATCCTACCAATTTCTCTGAAATGCAAATATCCTCCACCTTCCAGTAGTGCCTCTTCCTCTGAAAGAAAGTAATTCTCACTAGCTAGTCTGATATAAAAATGATGTATGAAGCGGTGCATGAACTAGTGATTAAAAAAGTGTTTTAAATTCTGTGGAAAAGTAGATAAGATAGGACAAAGCCTATAGGAATTTTCACCTGGCTTGAATCTCTTGAATCTTGAGCTTAGAAGGTTGGCTTGTAATTTATTTATTATAAAATCTGGCTGTAATAGGTAGTGATTTATTGATTAATCACTCCCCCAGCAAACTTGCATGTCACCTAGCTTAAGTCATGTGATTCCACGAAAAGATGCAGTGGTTTAAAGAGGATGCAAACAAAAGCTACATTTGTGCCTCAGCCTATTTTAAAGTACCTTTCTGGAATCAAATCTTAACTACTGAATAGATATACTACAAATATACAAACTAGTTTGATAATTGCTCCAATCCATATATTGGTAGAGTAACTGTATACTGTAATATAAAGCAGTGAACCCATAAGATTACCATAACCCATAAATAATAGCTGTCCTCTCAGCCTTGTCCAGTGGCCCATCAAACAGAGGATCACCATCCTAGAATCTTGAAATGGTATTTAAGATTCTGTATCAAACATGCAGAGGTTCCTTGGAAGCAGTTGCTTCAAATGGGAAGGATTTTTGGACAGTGTGACATTTGATATCCATTACCGTTCAGAGAAGAGGCTGTAGACGGGTCTTTAGCAAATATTACTACCCTGATATTGTTCCCCCTTTCCTGTAGAATAATCAGTACCTTCAAAATGCATGCTTGAAAGTATCCCGGGATTAATCTGTGCATATTCTTTTCTCAGTTATGGTGGCTACCTGTGAATATATTTGTGAGTTCCTGATTTGAATCAAGTTACTTTATCTCTTTGTAGGGAAGAAATATAAGACACAATTTCAAATATTACTTATAGCACATGCAAATATAGTGATGTATAATGTGCCCTCTTTGGCTACTTTTCTTGTAGTATGGTATTGTATAAATGTATTGTTATAACTATGGGTCATATATACATCATGAAAGGCAGATATGAATTCTATAAGTAAATCCGTTGTCTGAATTCTTTCTGTATTTGCAATAACAACCTGGAGTCTAGTTACAGCAAAGGGTTCCAGCCACATGCAGAGAATATTCATGTCCTTATTATAAATATTCAAAGACATCACTATACTGTACGTACTGCCAAAAAAGATTGTTGTTGTTCAGTCGTTAAGTCGTGTCCGACTCTTCGTGACCCCATGAACCATATTGTGCCAGGCCTTCCTGTCCTTCACTGCCTCCCTGAGTTTGCTCAGTTTCATGCTCATTGCTTCAGTGATGCTATCTAACC